GGGGAAAGGTGGGGGGGGGGGGCATCATGCTGGAGGCATATCAACAGCAGGATATGTACTGTATATGAAAAGCACAATTGATCTTATTCACATGAACAAAAAAGTGAACACACAGGCAGAACATAGGTCTGTTTAAGAATGCAGATGCACATACAGACATGAAAATTCTGATCCTATTCTTGAAGCAAAAGATGATGATATAAAAGTCTCAGCAGGCATTGATATTCTCAAGAGAATGTTAAATTGAAGAGGGTAATATTATAATTTGATAAATATATCTTATGTGATTGGTAATGTCAGATGTAGGTGATGACAATACTACATAGATTTTATTTAATGCATTTTCGGTACTGTCTTGCTGGATAGTCCTGAACAAGTGACAGTTAAGATTTACTAGAGGTTGGTGGCATTTCAAAAATGGAAGCAGATTCTTAATTTTGATCAAATGCTTAAAGCGAAGGCAAATATAAAAAATGACAGTGACTCATGCTGATAAAGTCTTATGAATATGGATCATTAATTAAGAGCGAGTGAGTACTGTGAGAGTTCCCAATTTTCAAGTCCTACTCACTTGTCACCAGAAAGTCAGTATGAGGTCTTTTTCTCATTGTTTTGCTTTTTCGGTCTTGGAAAAGCCTGTTAAATTCTGTTGGAAAGTGTTTGTTGGACTGATCTGTGTCTCAGCTGAAGAACGTTGTAGAAATTACACAAGATAAATCTAAGAACAATTACAGATTGGTTTGTTTTTACACAAAGTCAGACAATATGAATCTAAAAATGTTATTATAGAGAAATTTGTGAACATAGAAGTTTACATTAAAATATGTTTTCCATTGCACAATTCTTGTGCAATTTAGAATTAGAGATAATGGAATGCTATTTAACTACTGTGGAAACTAATTGTTTTTGTATCTTTCTTGGACGTGATGTTACTTTCTTATGAGAGAAGTGTTCTAGTGATATTTTACTAGTTTTATTCCCTGGAGTGATTTGAACATTTCCTCAAAAACTACTGTTATTATACCCTCAAGCAAGGCACTTAACCAGGAACTGCTTCAGTAGAGCTGCTTAGTTGCCTGAGGTGGAGGACTATGATTAGCGCTGGACACCTCCCTGTGGTGAACATGTGGTGGTGGGGGAATGGTACAGCTACAAAAGTGAGGATGCTCAATGAAACCTTTCCAGGGTATTTTAAAGGTTAAAGAAGTAAATATGATTTTTTTTTTTTTAAACTCTCAGCATTTTCTCACCTGTGTGAACTCTCAGGTGCACTTTGAGATGGTGTGAAGAGCGGAAAGCTTTACCACAGTAGGGGCAGTCTTTTATCCCTCTACCACGCACTCGCTCCCTGGTGGGAACCGGAGGTATGGAGGAGACCGCTGTCAAGCCATTTTCTCCTGCAAGTAGAAAAAGAGGTGGAAAAAAATGTAAAGATATCAGACCCCATGAGAGATACTATTTACAACAGAAAAACAGTGCCAAAATAGTCTGCTCTTGTGATAATATCACTATTACATGTAGGCAAACAAACACAACCATAAAGACAAAATAGAAAACAGCAGATGAGGATTGTACCTTTGAAGCCTGAGATGACAGAGTGAAACCCCGTAGCTATTCCTGCTTGTTGTGCTCCACCACTGTGCAGTTTTGATTCCTGTCTCACTTCTCCCGTTTGTTGGGTTCCACCACTGTGTAGCTGAGATTCCTGTCTTACTTCGCTGCTGCCTCCTCTTCCTAGTCCTGCTCCTCTGCAACTGCCACTCTCATCGTCTTCTCCGCCAGCTCCTTTTTGGGGCCTCTGAGTGTGAACACGAGCATGAACCACCACCTGCTGCAGACTGCGGAATAGCTTTCCACAATCTGGGCATTCCCATGGCCCCCCTCCTCCTCCAGACTCCTCTCTTAGATCCAGGCCTCCAAGGTAGGCTCTGACCTGGTCAGCTTCAGTGATCACAGAACTCCGACCTTGGCCTCGCTGGCCTTGCTGCTGGCCTCGCTGATGAGACCTCTGCTGTTGCTGCTGAGCGACTGCCAGGCTGCGAGCCACCAGCTGCCACCAGGTTGCCTGGTCCCCTCCTTCAGATACAGATGCTGAGGTTTCACCTGTGCCTCTAGTTTTTCCCCCTCCTCTTCCCACATCACCACCTCCTGAGCTGCCAGTGCTGCCACCACCACTGTTTCCCATCTCTGCCACCTGAGCCACTGCTTGAAGTCTCTCCATACAGCTGGCCCCACTGCCATCGCTGGGCAACCCCAGGTATCCCAGGATGGCTGACTTGCTGGAACTCATCCCCGTTCTGCCTCCAGTGTCCCTCTCTGATCTTCCTTGTCCACCTCTGCCACCTCCCCGCTGGGCCAGAAGAAGGCTAGAGTAGAGGGCATTGAGAGACTGATTACCTGCTGAGCCTTTAGCCTGCTGCTCAGCACCTCCTGGTCCCCCAAGGGTCCCCAGCCCAGCTTTCAGCCCGAGCTTGTTAAGATGTACTTTCATGTGGTTTTTGAGGAACCAAGGCTCCTTGAAGCCACGACCACATACCTGGCACTTATGGTCCAAGGAATCCTTATGCTTTCGCATGTGTCCCTTTAGGAACCAAGACTGGGTAAACCGCTGTCCACAAGTGTCACATCGAAATGCAGGCAGTGAGGAGGATGCAGACATTGTAGTGGCTGATGTCACCTGTGGGGTACTTGGTGTTGGGGCTGGTGTATGGGTTGGGGTGGGCACAGGAGTGTCAGGGGTTGCAACAATGGGCCTGGAATTGAAGGCTGGTGGCAGAGCAGGTGCCTCAGGGGAAGGGTGACACTCCTGCAAGTGGGATGCCAGGCTTTCTTCTTGGCTGGCAGAAAAAGGACAAAGAGTGCATTTATAAGGGTTGTGGAGAATGCGGACATGGCGGGCCAACTCTGAAGCAGTGCGAAATTTTCCTTTGCAGGCGTGGCAGCGAAACATAGATGCTGTGGACATACATTCCCCAGTGGTGGAAGAATAGGGAGAGGTCACAGATACAGGGTCCTCTGTAAGTGGAGGGGTCAGTGGTGTGCTGTCATCAATTAAAAAGTTTGGGTTCTGGTCTGTCTGTAGGCCATCATCAATACCTTTACCCTCACCATCAACCTCCTCTTCTTCTGTGAGATGCTGAATGAGAGCCCCTGGTAGTAAACGCTGGTTTGTGTGACTTCTGTGATTCTGGATTATGTCTTTGTGGTTCTGTTGGACTTTGAGGTGCTGCTTTAAGGGTGCTGAGGGTAGTCCAGTCCGGTAGAGGGCTGAAGCTCGGCGGTCTCTGTCCAGACTGTGAGCTCGTGCGTGAAGAGACAAAATACTTTGGAATCTAAATCTCTTCCCGCATACGTGACAGGGAAATCTGAGTGCAGGCCCCGATGAAGCCCCGCCCACTCCAGGTACCGCCTTGGTAACAGCATCTTTTTGGAACAGCTGCAGGTCTAGCTCGTCATTGCAGTTTCCACTCTGACCCGAAACAAGGGCCAGCTCCAGGGCTCCAAACCCAAGGAGTGGTGCTGATGGTGTGGCTGGGGGGGGGGGGTGCATCCAGCTTCTTGCCCCCCACCTCCTGGGAACAAAGCCACTGCCGGGGTTGGGGACGGGGGAACTCCATCAAGCTCTTCCTCGTCATCCTCTTCATCAGAATCATGGTGATTGTTATTGTCCTCATTGAGAGGGAAGGGAGAGAGGGGGAAATAAGGCGTAGTGTCTGGGCTCTGAGAGGAAGGTTCAGGGCTGTGAATGGGTAGGATAACGGGGCTGTCAGGTAAAGAGAGCTGGGTGTTAGGAGAGGAGGCCTGGGGGCTGTGGTCCAGGGACGGCAGTGTTGGAGGAGACTGGGGCTGCTCACAAGAAAGAGACAACACACACTCTGGTGGAGAATCCATCCTCTGAGTACAAAACACAGAGAAAAGAGAGGAAACAGACAGTGAGTGAGACTGATGACTTAAAAGGAGTTAACTAGAGGAAAGGTTCAATTTGCATGTTGTGGATAATTATCTTCAACTCTAATATGACCTTGATGGGAAATGGACCCATAAGGGAAATAGTAAAAAAAAAAAAAGACAATCAAATTATTTTTGTTTGATTAACTGGTGTCTGTATATGAATGTATGTGTTCATATTGTATATATGTGAATGTGTATAAGAAGTGTAGAAAATTACCAGCAGTGTGTGTGATGTTATGCCATTCTTTAGTGTCTCGGCTGATGGGGGACACACTTCTGTGGCAGCAGCCTCCTTTGCTTTTCTAGAGACAAAAACAATAAACAAACTAATGACAAATGGAAATCTGCACTTAAATGCAGCATAATTTACAGTCAAAAATCTAACTGTGCTTGAAATAAAGTTTTTGCCTGTTATAAACACACAGACCCATGCATATGTGTATGCATATAATATTATCTAACTAAAGACTTTAGGTAAACTATCAGCATTGGTGTCAGTGTAGGCGTAAATACTCTTGAAATATTGAGCAATGAACTGCAGGTAGCAGAGTTTTGTCAAACAAGATTAAAAATCATTTGCACAGAAATTGTTTGAATGTATTCCACCATAAACACTAAAAGCAGAGAATCATGTGCACACTCATTATGTTTTGAATGTGTTTTAATGCATGTAAATGTTAAGTAGCCTACAAAGAAAAATGTTCATTTGATCTTCAATTATTCAGTCTATGTAGGTGTATGCTTGGATGTGTAACAGGTGTGCACCTGTTAAGCCTCCTGGATGTGTTCACAATGCACTCCAGCATACTGTTGGTGCATATGGGATGATTAGTCAGAGTGTGAATGTGTATCAGTGTGTATCTGCATGTGTTCAGGAGTTAAGGGCACCACCACAGGACATAAACTGTCCCAAACAGGATGGGCGCGCAATGTTTTGACTTCCCCACACGCCCTTCCTGTACACAGTAGCAGCTTTTTGCTTAAATCAGGCGTGTACACACACACACCCACACACACACACACACACACACATATTTGCATTCAGTATGCATGCACTTACAGTATGCACAGCAGTATTTCTTAAATCTACTGTCTGGGCGTGGTGGCTTTGACCCATATACTGCTTAGTCATGGTTACTTGCTTAAGTAATGCACAGATGGAAGCTCATTCTTCTCTCGTGTTTATTGTACTGCAAGTGTCACCCCAGATAACAGAGTCAGCTAAAATATAATGTGATATACAGCATATTGAACACACGAGCATTTTGGCAAGCATGTTTACACTCCCAAATATTTTGAGTGCACAGCAGTTTGCACCAGTTACTCTGGATTTGTGCACATCGTTTATGTTTGACCATCATTTCGTGGAGTTGAGAAGCAGCAGTGGCGCCCACAACAAAACAAAAGGTCATCAATCATTGTAGCAAAACAATAGAACATCTGTGTTCGCAGGTGTGTCGCCCATATTTGTGTTCACAAGGCGGTATGGTCACATATGTGTTTATATGATCTGCTGGATTTGTGTATATGTGCATGTGGTTGTGTGTGTGTGTCACTGGATGACAAAGAAATTCTCATGTAGCCAGTTGACATTTTAGCTCAGCTATGACTCACAGGGATATCACACCATATCAATCACATAAACACACACTCACACACAACCACACTCACAGACTCTTTTCTTAATCCACCATTATTGTTCTTTCTCTCCCTGTCTTCCTTTCCCTTCTGTCTTTCTTTCTCGTCCTGATTCCTACTCCTACCATCCCCCTCTCATGCTTTGCTCTCTCCCTCCGTCTATTATTCACTAATTTTCTTTCATTCTCTCCCTCTCTCTTTCTTTCTCTCCTGCAGTGTTGCCAGTTGGCAGTGTGCCAGGGAATGCTGATATCAGCTGGTAGATTGGGCCCTGCCAACATGGCGAAGAGCAAAATGAGAAAGGAGGCAGACAGAGAGAAAGAAAGAAAGACACAGAGACAAACGTACAGTTCAGTTACAAACTGGGCAGCATAAGACATTGTCACAAGCCATGTGAATGAAAATGATTCAATGTGATTGTCAGCATAGTGGTGAGGGGGGAACAGGAAGAAAAATAGGGATAAAATATACAGATGTGGTGGAACAGAGAACAGGAGAGAAATTAGAGCAGCGGTGTGGTAAACTGGGGCTTAACATGAAGAAAGTACCACAGATTTAAAAAAATCATTTGAAAAGTCAACACAGAAAAATATGCATTCAGACAGAGATCAATACAGCGAGAGAAAAGAAAAATGAAGACAGGCGATCTAACTGTATCTGAAGCAGTGTTAAGTCTGATGGAATTATCATATGAATATCACCATCACAATGCATTGTTCCACCATGACGGTGGCTGTCGCCAACCAATGGCCCTGTCATGCCAATAAAATTTGGATAGATGAAGAGAGTGAGATAAGGTGCAGAAAAGGATTCAGGGAAAGGGTTTTGAGGAGATGAGTTTCAGAAATCAAAAGGGGACGAAGCACATAAAACCTACATGAACTAAGAAACTGAAAAACCAGTCAACTAAACCACAGTTTTTAAAGGAGTCAATACTATGCAAAAAAACACAAAACTGAAACTGATGCATGCAGCAGTTTTGCCAGAAAAGGAGAAATCAGATCTTAAAAGCACATCATAAAAATGCATTTTTAATGTCGGGTGTCAGTCTTGACACGAGATGCTGGTACTGGAATTCAAAAAGTATGGAGAAAAATGTATTAAACTGCATTTTCCTGTGCTTATTTTTCCTCTTCTTTCTCTGACAATGAGATCTTCAGTGTGTGTGCAGCAATGTAACAATGCTGAAATCCACACAGTAATGACAGCCTAAAAACGTATATCACTGTTGCACTAAGCGTTGCCATGATATTGTTATTGCTGCGATTGCTGTGTAACATTGTGGGGGCACCATGATAACTAATTTCAAGCACTGTATTACCTTAACAGGAAATTGGTTTTTATGGCTGCGGTCAACATGCCTAAATAGTTTAAATACTGACAACTACTCCCACACTTGTGTCTCAAGGTGTGTGTGTGGTGGTGGTGGTAGTGGGGGGGGGTTGCTGAGTCATATGTCACATCACTTGCCAAGGGAGTATAAGCACAATATGTTCAGACTAGTTTATTTGAGTTTATTTAGGGGGGTTGAAGTCATTGTATAAATATGGACTGAGGACAGTTTTACTGTGAAGGCAGTTAGTGCACGTCTGAACATGTACACATCATAATTGTAAATGTGAGGGTGTGAACACCTTTCACTTTGTTTTTCACAGTGTGTGGGCAGGAAGTACTATATCTGCTCAGCTTTACTGTACCTTAATGATATGAATGTAAATATACACTGGCTGACTGGTTTCCAGCCTCTATGGCTTTATTGTCGAGCGAAGCCTACTTGCAGGTACTTGTCAGAGTTTGCATGAATATGTCTGTGAGCTTTTTTACAGTGTGATTTTGCCCTTCTAAGATGGTTACATTTTTACAGTGTAATGAAGCCTGCAGAATTTCTCAAGAACAAATTTAAGATTTGGGAAAAATAGGCATCACTTTTTGCAGCAAGTGGAAGTGTTGCATTGAATTGCATACAATTGTACAGGTGTACCTAATAAAGTGGCTGGTGAGTGTATTTTGTAACCTACTGGGTGGCCCCAGACCTCAGGTTGGGAACCGTTGCCCTGTAGGAACACTAAAGAGTAAAAAAGCAACAGCTCTGTGTTGTGTTTGTGCCTGTGTGCATGTGTTTGTTGTGTCCTCCTCCATGTACCTAAAAATAGGCACCGCCAAGGTCTCGGGCCTGAGCCTTAGGATAAATGAAAGCGTGTATCTGGAGGCTGTGTATGTCTTTGTGTGCACATCGGTGAATCTTTCCTCCCAGTATATTCCTTGAACACTCATGATGAAATGCGTCTGGTGAGGTGTCCTTTGGGCAAAAGTGTGTGTATGAGAGACTGACCATGAAATATGTATATGAGAGGAGGAGTGACTGAGAGAGGGGAGTCCACTCTCTCTGTGCGGTATGCTTTAATTTGGCCCTGTGGTTTTATCACGTGGTCACTTCCCCACAGACGGTATTCATTTCCTTTTCTTCACCTTTCCCTGAACCCCTCGCTTCACTCTGTGCTTTGCTCCAACTTTGTCTGGTTCACACTCTCCCTCTCTCCTCACTTTCAGCTCCAGCAGTGATAGGGGGAAAAGTCTCCCACTTTCTCTCCAACACTTACTGTAAAATTGTAACTTCCTTGAACAGCAAAACTTTTGTGTATCTATTTGGAGTCAAAATTTAAGTAACACTGCTATCGCAGGGCTCAAAGTCAACCTCAAACAAAACTACAGGCATTGTGGTGCTGTTTGGAGAAAGTGAAATGGCAACAGGCTGACATATGGCTGACCTTTGTCATAGACATTACGCGAGCCAGATGAAGAAGGTGTTGTGTGAAAATGACACATTCATCCCTAGTACCGATCTGTCCTCAGCTCTTTCATCTGTCACTAGATCTAGGGGGGCAAAAAAGAAACATTTAGCAAAAAAGTTGAAGAAAAATATTTCCTGTGCCACTGATATGTTTCAGTTTCTTCCTGTCCAACCTTACAACATCATTTCTCCTCCTCTACCTCTCCCTTTTTTCTCCATCTCTTCTCAAGCTGTTACTCGTGCTCTTTCTGAATGAATTTGCTCCTCTGGCGGAGAACACGAGCGACACTTCCCCGTAGTTGCGTAGCGCCGAACTGGGAGTGACGCAGTGGTGCCAGATCTGAGCGAGTGAATCTGAAACACTGGAAACATCACAGCATCTCGGCAGAGAAACAAGGCGCTCGCTCCAAGTCACAGAGGCCGTGCTGAATCTAAACCAAAGAGTGGAAGTGCTGACTGACTTGCTCGATTCAGGATTGTAAGACTGAAGCCTGAAAAGAAGAACTGCTTTGGCGCTTGCACATGTCATAAGCAAATCACTGAATATGTTCTTCCTGAAAGGCTTATCTGTGATTGAGGGAAAAGAAGCAAAGGAAGGGAGCAGTCTTTTTTCTAATCAAAAATCTTAATTTGTACTAAAACCTGTCAATCAGATAAGGAATGTTCACTTCCAAACCCTTTTGTCAGCTACAGCCTGAAGTGTCCTGGAAGATGCTGACATAAGCCCCAGGGATGTTGACCCTACACGGTGGCCTCCTTGTCGAATATGTATGTCATATATATTAGACATGTTGAAGAGCCTATGGATTTGAGCCTAAAGGTGAGGGCATACTCAAAAAGAACTATTTTGTGCTGAGTTTAGTCTAAATGGCTGGATGAACATGCTGCTGCCACAAAGAGGGGCAAACCAATGATCATTCACACATTATCGGACAGGCCTTCATATACCCTCTGAGCTGCCTTATCTGCTGGCCTCCGTAGACCTGGCCAACTGCTGTGTAAAGTGAGCTTGAATGTCCAATTGTCAGTTTTGTAAAGTTTAAAAAAATATGTCTGCAGCACTCCCTCCTTCCAAATTCAACAGGTGTTGGGAGAGGAGGGCCCAGACACTGTTCACCCATCTGACAACCACTTTTAATGTAGCATACTGACATCTTAATACCTTCAGCCTCTCTCGCTAACATTTAGGCATCCTTTGCTCAATGTCTCTTGATGAATAGACCTGCAGCTCCATCTCTTGCTTGACCTGCTGTTTTAAATCACAACAGGCCTTCCTGTTGGTGCTGTGACCTGCTTTACCATGCTTCACCTCTCAAATGTATGATCCCACGTTAGTTGTTAACTTCACTATCTACCTGTCCACTTCAAAAAAAAAAAAAAAGGTTTGAAAACTCAGTGCAAGTGGCACAAGTGGCATATTATTGAAGACCTTAATGCTCTAAATACACACTAATCCCAAGCAGCCAGCAGAACTCTCAACAGTCTCAAAATGTCACAATGCAGTAGATTCTCCCTAACTGAGGGCAAGCAGGTGCCTCTCCCGCAGCGCACTAATGACCCAATTATATCAATCAGAAGCCTTGATTGGTGCTACACTCCTCTTCCTTTTACTCTCTCCCTCTGTCTCTTTTCCCCTCACATAGTCTTTTCCTCAAGAGCCACCTGGATGGGTTGTATGTGTTCCCTCAAGTACAGTACAGTATGTACAAAGATGGGGAGGAGGTGGTGATGATGGTGGTGGAGGAGGAGGAGGAGGAATCCTCCTTGAGCACAACAAGCAGGCAGAGGTCTGAATGAAGCAAAACCCTGAGACCCCTTTTAACACTGGGCCAGCGTTTCATACTTATTAGTACAGCATGTTCGATATGAGCATTTGCAATATTAAATCACCATCTTATATCAAAAGTAGATGGCCTGTAGGGGTTGAAGGGGGATATGCCTACTGTCTCCCCAAACAGGTGATTCTTTAGTGATTAGTTTTAAGTTGGAGATATTAGTGTAGGTGCTCTTTAGTTTGTGACAAAGACTGAGCTAGGACAAGATTTTAGTAGCTTCTGTTAGAAGTGACATTAGAAAAAGTCACTCTATTAGGTGACGAGCAAAAGACAAACACAAATTTTGATAAATGTATAGAATGTACCTTTTATTTCTCACAGATTGATGTTTTCAACTTGCAAAGGCATCTTTAAGATAATGTGTAGCTTAGGTCTGTGTAGTTAAAAGAGTATAGGTATAAAAATTACAAATAAAATAAAAAAGATGAAGTAAACAGAGTTAAGGACCCTCCACAACATCCTTGATTATAGGACAGCCAGCAATGTCAACCTACTTCCACTATGCACACGCGCTCAAAAGTGTGACATTTTGGTTGGATATAAAAATAGGGCATTTCAGGATCCCTAAACATATTCCATTGGATATAGAAAAGGCGACGGGAGTGTCTTTGGTCAACCCAGATGACACGTCTGCGCCTTATCTCAAGAGGAATTTCCTCCTCGCCCCTATGATGTGCGTCAATAACGTGCAACCATTTTCAGTCGCTCTTTCCCCTCTTCTCTCTCGCGGCCATCTCAATTAGAGGCACATTAATGAAATAAATAACCATCAACAAACAATGCACTAATAAACACCCCCACTAAAAAGAGATTAACCCTGCTCGCAGATGATAACCGCGCACAGCCCCGCTTCCAAAAATGCCATTAAAAATGATAAACAGTGCGATGTAGTTTGGATAAGTCGGGGGTGACGTGTGTGTGTGTCATGTCAGCCTATCTATCGCTCTCTCCCCTGCTCCATTTTGTTCTTAAATTTTCTATACAAAAGATTAAGGGAGGGGAAAGACGAGTGAGCGAGCAGGGAGAGGACGGGAGGAAAAAAGTGCCATCATGGATTTCATCTAGAATCCTCTGAGAATCCTCCAAACCGACCAGTCACAAAAAGCGACATCTTGTCCAAAAACGCACATTTTGAAACCAGGGATGGAAAACCAGTAACTTATATTCGCAGAATACAATTTGGCAACACGCGTTGTGCTCACACACGAGTACAGCGTTGCATGCCACACTTGCTATGCTACTTTCTGAGCTGGAAGGTGATGTTAGGACAACTAAACGCGTCGTAGTAAACATTGTAGTAAAAAGTGGCAAAGTAAAACGTTAATAAAGCACTATTACAGCCTGCGGATGCGTTTTTGCGCGCATCCCAGATGAAAGTGACGGTGGTAATCTCGAAAACAATGCACTACACAATGCCTAATCTGTGTCAAACAAAAGAATTTGTCAAGATAATGGCATCTACCAACAAATTACCCATTTTAAATCAACTTGATAATATGCAAAAACCCACTTTTACGCCTGAACAATATGTCTGCGGCTTATCGAAATCCTCAGTTACGCACCGAGAACTTGTACCTCTTTTTATAAAAGCTACTTATTTGGTCAAACGTCGTTGTTCAGAGAGGTTAAAAGGGGATAGAAAAAGAAGAGGTCACAACGCTGCCTGATTTCAAAGCTGCTTTCATCGCGTGGATACTAGCTAACTTTTACTTCGTTAAAGTTAAGCGAATTTTAAAAAATACGTCTTTAACCACCCGGAGTGACTTTCGTGCACTTGCAACCATTTTAAAGTCGCATTTAATTTCGGATGTCTCGCCGGATCGGCGTATTTAAACGTTACACCCAAGATTTTTGGAACTATTTTGGGAAAACAGTGCATTACTCCGCTTTTTTTGTCATGTCACGGGCATAAGAGGGCTCGGGGTCTCTAGCCTATGCACGTCGGTCCACGGGCGCACATACACCGGCTTACATACGTGACACACACATAAAGTGGTCCGGAGCGCGCGGTTACATACATAACATACAAACATGCCTCATGCCAATCACTCACATGCAAGCACACACGCGCGCACACACATATAAATCCGAAGAGCAAAGAATGAAAAGCGGAATGTCCCGAGAAATAAAACACAACAACAACTATACTGGCCATTATCCCGTGTGCTGCTCCTGAAAAAGGCAACAACAGTCGCAATAAATTCAACAATTTTGGGAATGTTTCATTACCGGTGTTTCATCCCACTATGCATAAAAGTGTATATGTAAACATAGTGGTGGAGAAAATATAACTAGATAAATGGAGATATAGGATATATGTTGAAAGTAAAGACTCAGTGTACTTACGGGAGAGGCGGCGAGGAGATTAATGACACGACACGTCATGATTACGTTTCACTTGAATTAAATACATTACGAGTTGGGAAAAAAATGGAAATCAGGGTTGTATACAAGCATACGCCGTTTCCCCCTCCCTCCTCCCTCCGTTTGGTCAACCTCTTTTCTCCCTCTCTCTCTCTCTCTCTCTCACTCTCTCCTCCTCCTTCTCCTCCATCTCCCTTTCTTTTCCTTCTCCCTTTCTTCTTGCATTTTTCCCATTTATTGTACAGGAGTGAGTGAATAGAGAGAGGAGAAGAGGAGAAGTGGGAGGGAGAGTGATGTAGGTTGGAAATGTTAATTATAATCTCAGCACAGGCACCATTTTACAACGCTGTCATCTCTTCACATTTGTATCCTAAATATGGCATCTGGGGTGGCGGGTAGCTGACAGTTTGAGATACTTTTTTTTGAGGAAGAAAAAGAAAGTTTGCACCAAGTGAAGTGTGTTAAAAGTGGTGACAGGGGGCAAGAAGCAACCTAAACATTGTGTTGAGCCACCCCGGAAGCACATGGCCACGCTGAGGATGGGAAGATAGAAAGTGCACATATTTGGATGTGAGGTTTCCGACATAAAGTATGGAGACCAATAGGAGTTCCTCATGAGGTTTCCAAGAGGTCTCCAGCAAAAACAGCAGCAGTGGGAAAGTATCAGTTGAAATGGAACTTCATTCAAAGTATACAGTATTCATAGTAAATTTAACTAAAGTATTAAAAGTAAAAGTACTTGTTTTGAATAGGCTTTTGAATATATTTTCTCATTCTTATACCATGCATTATTTTACAGTGTCCTGATCTCATAATACACACCTTTGTACATGGCTGCACCTACTTTTTTCAGTTGCTGTTGATTTAATCATAGCAGGTGCACATCTCCTCCAACCTATGTGCCAGAACCAATAACATTTGCATAAATAATTCCCTGCATCATCTTATTTGTGCTGTCATGCCTGGGAGGCAATTTGTAGTGCTTTTTCTCTCAGCAAATGACTCATTTCAAGTGACATTAAACACCTTTTGGCTGAAGAAGAGCCCAAAACAAGTGAAGAAACATAGTTTTGTGACATGTTATTGCCTTATAAAGTTGTTAGCAGAGAACAGTCAGGGTTTCAAGTTTCTACATCACACATAACTGACAAAAAAAATCATGCTTGTCCATTCACATCTTAAAGGTGCTTTAACTAAGATTTTATACATTAAATTAGCTCTGCCACCTAGTGAAGGTTATAAGAAGCATTTTTCAAACTGTGACGTCATTTTAAACAGCGAGCCACGGAGGAGCTCTTGGCAACTAAAGGTGCCTGAATTAGCTTGTTTGTCTGTTCCATAGACCTCCACTGTGGCTCAAAAATGATTAAAAACACACAAGTGAAAACCGACATTGCACTAGGTGACATCTTTCAGCATTTAGCAAATGCTAGCTGAGAGTTCACGGGAGATCTCGCCATGTGCACTTGACTCTGACTCATGCTAACTTCTGGAAATTATGGCCACTTGGACCCTTTGGGGAAACATCTGGGGTTTCATAATGAAAAAATGTCACCCAGTGCAGCGGTGTGTTTCACTGGTGTGTTTTTAATTGTTTTTGAACAACAGAGGTTTATCACACAGATGAAGAAGCTGACAGCTGACAGACATTAACCATGAGAAAAAATAGAATGAATGTATGGCCAAGTATGTTACACACACAAGGAATTTGTTTCCGGTACACATCTGCGGCGCCAACTCAACCGAAGGCTCTAACCATGGTGGGGTTCAATGTCTTGCCCAAGGACACTTCGACTGCCGGTACCAAGATTCAAACCTCCAACCTTGTGGTTGGGAGACGACTGCTTTACCCACCGCATCACGGTCGCTGCTATGAATCGAGGGTATTCATTGTTGGTTTTACTCTCTGTATGGAGCTTGCTGAACATACTTTTAAAGGTAGGGTTGGCAATTCATTTCAGAAGGGATGGGATTTCTTTTGTTATCTACTTTCATAATTGAGCTTCCTCTTGCTGGTTTTTCCAAGATCACCAACCCTACCTTTAATATAGAAAATAACTGGCCTTTTCCTTTAAACTCACCTTTAATGAGAAAAGTAAAATTTTCCCCGTTCAGCAGTTGAATGTGAAAACAGCCCTCAAGTGCACTTACAGTATATCATTCTGCACAATGAAGGTCAAACATCCAACTGAAATAAGTAAAATCTATTTTTGATTTGCAGGGGCTTTACAACACAACACTTACTTAAAAGAGGATGAAAGAACTGCAGCCATGGGTGATACATTTCAGTTTGTCACTATGAGTGACTCCTTTCATGTTGGCTAGCACTGGCAACTTTAAACTTTACTTAAAGGTACAACCTGCATTCAGTGTCCAGCATCTTTACTCAAGAGTCACATTTTCAAATTGCCTTCCATGTAGTGGTGTGAAGATGGTCAGCTGTAAATAATAGATGTGTAATCTGAAAACTGGATTGGTAAGGGTGTTCCATAACAACTGGACCTCCAGCAAAAAGTTCTTTACAGAAGGCGACTGTCTGTTTTCATCACAGGTTTCCGGATCCTAAAGCTTGTTGCCTACAGACAAGTGAGTCTTAGGTCCGTAACTCAAAAAGCCAACAGTTGGCCATCAGTGAGTGTCGCTGTGTGTCCCCCACCGTTGGCACTAGTCAGATCCTGTTGGCAGCTTTTCAGCCGATTTGCCACATTGAATCGATGTGGACCTCGTCAGCGAGAGAGACCACTTTGATGGGCTGTCAATCAATGCATGAACAGAGAACAGTTTGGGAAAGCACCTTCAGCCTGTCGCTGCAGTATCCATGATTTTACACATTTAGTGCGGTTTCCCCTTGTTTTTCACCTCCTTTCTTTTTCCACAACTAAAAGACCAAGGGCAGAGAACGGCAAGGTCATTTCTAACTTCTTATCAGACATTTTCTCAATTAGAAGCAACTATAAACAGTAGCTGTGTTGAACAAAAGTTGCTTTGTTTACAGCTTGTATAGCCACAGTCTAACGCTTCTTCTTTCCCTTTCTGAATGGCAAATGCAGATACCATCACCTGCTGGTAGGGGGAATTATTTCTCTCATGCAGGTGTAGAGTGTAGCTGCTAGTCAGGCATTGGCTGTAGTCTGCGTGGTGTGTTCAAGTGCCACTTTTTTAACTCAACTGCTCCAGACAAAGGCCTTTGTCGATGCTAGTTCTTTCATGTCAGCTTGGAGTGTCTCTGTCCTTAATATCACCACCAACTTAATATGAGTTGTTGTACATTCACAAGCTTGATATTGGATAGACGTAGCCATATTAAGTTGCATGTGAAGATGTGTTTGATTACCCTTGGTCTAGATAAAGTTATTTCACCAAGTTTGCTCTTGGTTTATCTCAAATGTTTTCATTAGACCTTCACCTTTAGCCTTATCTGCTCCATTGGCAGCAATATTTTAAAGTCTCAGGTGCTGAGTTCAACACAGACTTTGCTATACCTGCAATTGCTCCTGCATTTTGTTTTCCATGTAAGTGGCTTGCGCGGGTGAGTGTACTATATGAGGGCAAACGACAAAACCGAAAAGCAGAGATTCAAATCTGCACTACGTAGGCCAGGATGTGTGTGGAGTGGAAAAGCCTACGCACCTCTTCCACCACCTCTCAACCTTTATCACAGAGTTACAGAGTGTATTACATCAACAAAAAGCTAGTTGAATGGTCTGTTAAGTAATGAGGACAGAAATGGTCACATGTTCATTTGATATGCTCCACTGTCTCACTTTAAATGCTGTGATTTTATTCTTTAGAGATTCAGTAAAAACAGTATTTAGATGTAACCTTGGCTTTTGTGTATTCACTTTCCCACAGGCATACTGTATAAAAGAAATATTAGTCAATTGTGAGACTGAATGTTTTTCAGCAAAAGGCCTTGGTTTTAACATTTCAGTGTGATGTGTGAAGGTAAATGTTGGCTGGAAAATTCAAATGTCTTTGCTGACGCAGAACATATCTCCTGGATCAGCCATTGTAAGCTTGCTATTGTGTATCTGAGAGTGACTGACTAAGTCTGTGGCATATGTGCAGTGCATGCTGGTCTCAGCGTGTGTACATAGTAAATCAATGTGTGTATGAGTGTGTGTGTGAGCACATTTTGCATGTCAGCAGCTTATACTGTATATATGTGTATATAAGTGTATATATGTGTGCATGCTTTGTCTTTTGATGGGTCCCTGCAACTGTACTTTGTGTGTATGTGTGTGTGTGTCTCCCTGTGTGTTTGTGTTTGTGTACACTCATGGTACATATGTGTATGTGTTTGCGGCTGCCACAATGGCATCATCACCCGCCCCTGACGCTTTGATTGTTTTCTCTGCTGCAGCAGAAATTCACCAATTAATATGCAGAGAGTGAGTGAGACATACACACACAAAACACACACGCACAAAAAAAAAACAGCCATGAGGGAGGGAGAAGGGGAGGGAGGTTGATGGAGAGAGGAGCGAGGGGGGCAGAAGAGATGGCACAGAGAGAGGGGCAGAATAGGGGAGATGAAATGAAAGATGAGGGGAAAAGTGTGTGTGAGAGAAAAAGGGAGAAAGAGATGGAGTGAGATAAGGGGTGAGGGTGTAGGGGAGGGGGACATAGATGGAGGGGATGAAATCTGATAGATGTCTGAGTAAAAACAAGAGGAGAGAAAGAAAGGAGGGAGGGATGGGGCTGAGGTGAGGAGGAGGAGGGGATCAATATGTACATATTCAGTGAGATATGGTGGGAAATCAATTGAGAGGAGGGGAGGAGGAATTGATTCGGAGGGAGGAGGAGGTGGAGATGGGGGGTCACGAGGAGGGAGAGGGAGGAAGGAGATGGCGGAGGAAGAGGAGGAGTGCAGAGGTGGAGTGATATGTGGCTACGGCTGCTGTCCTTTTTGTCGCAGTGTCAGGGTATTGATACTGTAATACACTCCCACCCACCCCCCACTCCCACCCCTCCACACACACACCATCACCTCTCACCCCCCCATCCCAATGCTGCAGGCAACACGTCCCGCCTACTGGCACAATGCAGCCACAATACTGAGGGCACTGAAGCATCACACACTCAGAGAGATAGAGACAGAGAGAGCAGAGCAGGCCAGAGAGAAATAAAAAGAATGAGGGAATGAAAGAAAAAAGGGGGAAGGTGGAGATTAAGAGGGACGGAGTAAGATGGATAGATAGAAAGTGGGAGAAAGAAAAGGATAAAGATGGAGATGGAGGAGGGAGGGGAAGGGTAGGGGATGTGGATTGATGGAGAGACAGGAGCAAGGGAGGGAAGGAAGAAAGGAAGGAGGGAGGGAGGTGGAGGAGAGATATGGCAGTATAATATTACATGTGTAAAACGCCGGAGGGTGTGTGCCCATAGAAACATGTTTAATGGCTTTTATGATTGCAGGGAAGGTTGTGCAAGGTGCTTTTTTTGAGTGATGTATGCACTGCATGTGTGCAAACAACAAGGTGCTTATATGAATCCCTGTTGGAGTACAAATATATGATGATACTTATGCGTTTACTTTTACACATATCTGTGTCTACACTGTGTGTTTACATGTGTATATATGATTTGCTCAATAGTTTGGTTGAAATTTTAGGGTATTTTGTTAATAATCAGTATGATTTTAGATCAATTGTATGTTGTTTTGAGGAATGTTAATATATATTGTATATTTTATCACTGTCGTGAGAAAACCATGTCTCCCCAGAAGAAAAACGGCCCTGTTTCTGAGCTTTGTGTTGCCCATTGTTTCTTAAAAAACACACATCTTTTTTCAGTTTATCAGAAAATCTTGGATAAGCGTGGTTTTCTTTGGACAGAAATTGTATGTTTTCATCTTTGCCATAATGGGATTTGATCAGTTTGGTAAATTCTTGATCACGCTCTTCTGTTTCATTATAAAGTAAGTTTGGCTGCTAAAAAAGCTTTTTTTCTAGTTAAATAAAAGCTTGTTGATTAATTTGATGTAATATGACGGACACAAACCATGCTGTTAACCTGAAATCATAGGTTCATAGGTTAGTGTTCTGTAAATTTTTGGCATAAAAGCAGAAAGATTTTTAAATCAAATTTAGAACAAAACAAAATGAAACACACTGCGTTCCCTGACCTCCCTTTGCCAAAATGTCTGCACCGGGTTATTACTGTATCTCCCCCCCAACATATACCCTCATTTACAAAAGAAACGCTTGGCTGGAAGCTTATAAGTCAGTTTATCCGCGTGAGATGACCAACGTCCCTCTTTTCCTTCTTTTCTTGCCTCACACTATCTCATACGGTGTGTGTGTGTGTGTGTGTGTGTGTGTGTGTGTGTATGATCTATAGTTCCCTGCCTCCCTCCCTCCAACACCCTCTCCCCACCTCCCTCCCTCACCCTAACCCTCCTTAATATGATGTAAAAAGCTAATCGCATGCAAATGTCTGTTGTCCCGGTAACCAGGCCTGAAAAATCCCTTTGATGTTTCCCCCGACTCATTCTCTTCACGTTCTCTTTGTTCGCCACAGTCTCGCTGCTTTGTCAACATCCCCCCTTTTACCCCGCTCTCTCTCTCTCCTTCATTCATTCTGCAGCTCTCTCGGCCCTCTCTTAGTTCTTTCGATTAGAAAAAAAGTTCTAACTCTACTTTGTGTCTCCCTCTTTCTATAAGCCCCCCTCTCTATTCTTCCTCTTTTTTCCTGCCTCCTCTCCCCTTCGTGCTCCTGCTTTCCCCTTGACTGTGCCTCTCTGTCTGTCTGCCCCTTCGCCCTCGCTCATTTCCCATCATTCCCACCTACTGTCTCCTGTCCTTCTCCTCTGTCGCTCCTTTTCTCTCTCCCTCAGTTTTGCCCCTTCCTGTTGCTCCCCCTCTCTCTGCCCAGGCTTTATCTCTCATTCCTCTCTCTGGGTCTGTCACATGCACAGATGGACACACACACTCATGCTCTCAAGCTGCCCTCCCTTCCTTTTGAGAATTTGATCCCTGGAACTATTTGATATGGTGCTGCACTGTAGTTATCTAATCATTCTGGTTCTTGTGAGGCCTATATAGCAGCACAGCTGGCTTTCAGAGAAGAGACCCCACTCATTACAGCAAGTTTGAGGTTACAAGGTTTACAGGCCTCATTTTGAGGTCAGACCTGCTACAAGGTTCAAGTGCAACCTCTAACCTTGCACCGCCTCTTAAATATCCTCTGAGAGGCCTGGAACTACCATCCAATTTTATTTCGACACAGAAAAAGTACAACTATCATATAAGCATAACATGCATTTGTAACATTCCTTCCAAAAAATGTAAACATCAGGCAGTGTGTCATAGAAAAAGAGCGAGGCAAAAGATTATATACAATAATACTGCCTTGCTATGGCATAACAAAGTGAGGGATTCTGCATATGACAGTCTATACTGCAGTAAGAATGAAAGATGGTGTTCATTACATTGCTTCCAATATAGCACAATGTACCAAACAGCTAAAGGCTATGAAGTGTACAGGGTTTCTCCAAGCCAACAAATTACATATTGATTCAAAAAGGGCTCAATAGCCATTTGCAATTTTTGAATTTGGATGCAGATATGAAACATGCCGAATCTGATAACAGCGACGGAGTGCCGCTGCTCTCCGCAGACACGGGTGTGACCTCCCGCTGCTGCTGGCCTTCGCTACCTGATGGTTTCATCTTGTACCTTAAGCGTGATCTTGTTTGATACACATGCTGTCCAATAAACCCAGTGAATGAATGATGATTGGTTTTACAGGCTGTTTGCTTGCTGTCATAAAATATGAACTACTCACTGTATGAAATCATTGAAATTGGCTGCATCATCACATAAATGACTAGTTCTAGATATCTTGTGCATCTTTTTGTAAGCTTCCTTGTAAACCAGTATTAAAATAATGTATATGGGATCTCCACCGGAATTCTAAGTTCGGAGAGTTTGAATAAAAGCAGCATTGTGACATGTATTTTTATTTATGGACCCACTGGTACTGTAAGTCTGGCAGAGTGTTAGAGGATAGGTTGCTGCTCTGCAGAAGTGGAAGTTATTTTTATCTTTTGTTCCATTAGTTTTGAGAGACAATATCTGAAAGGAATGATTCCGCAATTTATGAGCTATGCTCTTTCACTTTCCTGCTGAGAGTTAGATAAGAAGATTTATAACACTCTCATGGCTGTCTTAGCATAAAGACTGGACACAAGGGGAAACAGTTAGTTTGGCTCCAAATGTAAAACTGCAGATTGTCATTCCTATACTTTGGTTTTAGAACAGACCAGTGAAAGTGAGATAATATGTTCATTAGTGAGCTTTAGAGGTGCTTCTGTGTGGTTTTTTCTATTCTTTGGTGAGCGCCAGGCTAGCTGTTTTCCTGTTTCCAGTTCTAATGCTGAGCTAAGCTAAATAGCTACTTGCTCTATAATTACATATTTACCATGCCGTCATAAGAGCGGTATCAATCTTTTCCTCAAACTCTTGTCAGGAAAGATAAACCCAGTCCTTTAAAATTTAGGGTATATTAATCCCCCACCATCACAAATGCTGTGGCTTAAGAGGTAGAGTGGTCGTCCTTGTGTGTGTAACATACTTGGCCAATAACAGTGATTATCATTATCATGTACAACACTCTAATCTTGAAACACAATAATCATAAACAGGAAGACTTTTTATAGTAGTGAAACAACCTAGAAGTGAGATTTGATTAAATGACCTTTTTAAGAATAATGATATGCAGTTCATGTGTTCTGGCTGCAAGCACAAAACCAGTAAAACCAGAATATAGAAACAGATCCACCATTCTCCATTTTATGGAGAGAGCCTTCAATCAAGAAAGCTGACAATACAAACAGTACTTCACTGTACATAAATCAGGATTGCACAGAGACCCATTGTATACCTTTGGCATAAAGAATATGGTATCTCATACTAAAAAAGTATAAAACTAAATTCATTAGTTCTTATCAGTACGCTGAATAACATTTTAAGGCACCAGGAAGCTCAAGTTGCTGACATAAGTTACACTTTAAAGAAGAGTAAATACTGTTTTGCCTTTATATCCTTACCAATGTTAATAAAAACACCACGTATGCATGTATGATATGGATATAACATAAGCCATTCCCAGCCATCATCAAGGCAATGCTTACTGTAGCCTACGTGTTGAGATGTAACCTCGCCTGTCATTGATTTAGCCACCGTACGGCTCTAAAATGGCCAGAGACTGTGTGTGAGCATGTGAATGTAAACAGTGCCCCACTGTCCTATAATAATAAGAATGTCTGCATGTGTTGAGGGACATTGTGTGTGCCTGCATACTCATACCACCCCTGCCTCATTTACATAGATGCAATCACACCTAGCCTCTGCCGCACATTTTTACACAGGCAGGAAAACAAGCCTACAGTACGCCATTTAGCATTATGAAAATGACAAAGTACATAATACATTCTAAATCTGTATCCCTACGGTGGATTTATGCCTTGCATATTACTTCCTGTTTATTATCAGATGCTGGAGCATGTGATGCATACAGTCAGCCAGCCAGGCAGTCAGTGGTTCAGACCAAGTGGTTTGGCCTAGTGGGGAGCCGCGGGGCAGACAATGGCCACACTGTGTGGTTGAAGTGCCTTTGGTGTCAGTGACTCTGCCAGTAACTGAGACTGGCAGATCCAAAATGGCGGAGCATAGAGAGCCCTGCTGGTGCTTGTCATGCTTTAAACAGGGCTGTTCTGATCCATTTTGGATGCAGCTTTTCTTCGGGGGTTCATATCAGAGATGGGAGGTTTAAAACGGGGGAAAGCAGGGCAGTGCTGTCTCTGGCTGATCTGCTGGCTTTTTATTTGCTTTAAGGAGCAAAAGGGAGCAATGGGGAAAAAAGGGGAAGAGGAGAGCAAGTATGTGGCTGAAGTTCAAATAAAGTCCAGGGATCTTTCTTTTGTCTTCTTGCTCCCTGAAGTTCAATTTGGCTTGATGAGATGATGAACTCTTCAAAAGGTCCAGGGTCCAGTTTCTGGAAATTTTACAAAGCCAAAATAAAATATTAATACTCCTACATGGAGTATTGAATTCATATTTACATAAATCTTTGCATAAATATTAAGCATTCATCAGAATACTTTTGTGGTTTTCTTCATTTGAAAAAAGGAGGGAATCAGTACAAGGTGTAAAATTTGAAAACAAATGACGCAGCAATGCAGTGACATCAACAGCAGCTGCAAAGAGA